CTTATTTTCTCTTCCCCACCCTTCCCCTCCCCCGTTTTTCTCTAAACATTAAACGTTCATGTTGGTCTTTAAAAAAAAACCGCCACGCTGGCCGTCTTTACTTTCCAGGACTTTACCTGGCACTCAATTTAGGCCGGGTCGACCTGGGAGCCAAGGTAATTTTTGAAGCACAGTCCGGCTGCGTTCGGGTGTGAACCCATTGTCTTCACATCCGCAGATGATCGCTGAGCTGCCGCGAAGACCAGTGTCTGAGACAATCATTCTTTTGTGTGAGGTTTCCTAGCGCTTGCCTGCGAAAGGTCGCCTCTTGCATTAGCGTTGATAATTGGTTAGCGGTTGCTACAAGCATTCTCCATTACTTGGGATTACCAGCGGATTATTAGTGAAACCAAGATTACAACCACAGCAGCGTATGTGGATACATATATTCTTGCCTGCAGTAAATCTCTGTTTTTAAACAACGGTAATTTTTTTTAAAGCCAGTTTATGTATTGTTTGCCTTTATTATGTAGAATAGGGTGTCATGAGGCATAGTGTCCGCCTCGAGTGCTGGAGATCCAGGGTTCAAGCCCTGGTAAAGGCTGGGATTTTTTAACATGGGCTTCTAGTAATTTCCCCTGGTGTCTGGGTAGTAAGATCAGACGCCCGCGTGTATTGCGGCGCTTGGAAAAACTACTGGACGTAAATTTGCCTAGAAAAACCACCATAGCCAAATAATGCTGGGGTTGGTTCTGCAACGTCCTGTGAAGGATACACAACTAACTGTAACCGCCTTTATACTTGCAGGTTTCAGAGGTCGTAACTGCGAGACCAACATTGATGACTGTGTCAACAGCAGATGCCATAATGGATCCACGTGTGTAGACAAGGTGAATGATTACCAGTGCATCTGTCCTGATTCTTATAAAGGTAAGCGCCTGTCTATTGTGTGTGTGTGTGTGCGTGCTGCTTGCGCGCTTGTGTGTGTGTGTGTGTGGGTGGGGATGTGTGTGGGTAATTTGGTATCAGAGTGGGTGTTAGTGGTTTTACTGGTTGTGATGGTGTCTGCAACCTTGTTGACAGTGTCCAGAATTTCAGTTGACAGTGTCCAGAATTTTGGTTGACAGTGTCCAGAATTTCGGTTGACAGTTTCCAGAATTTCAGTTTTCGGTTGACAGTGTCCATATGTATGTCACATTTGACAGTATTTTTGTTGTTGATGTGTTCATTGACATTTTTCAGGTATTACTACATTTAACTGTTTTTATATTATTCATATGCCCGGCTCGCTAGCATAGTTGGCTAAACCAGATTGCGCGGTGATCGGATGGCGAACTCCTTGTGGTCCTGGTTCACGCCCAGGGGTAGGCAGAAAAGCCACATTTCTCCCAGATTTACGGTATTTATCATGAAATCAAGGCCGAAGGGTCTCGATATTCATAATACCGAGTCTAAGGGTTAACAACTCATGGCTTCTGGATACTTAAAAAAAAAATATTATTCATATCGGTCGGCGTAATGCTGACCACATTACCCACCTAGTGCCGATGGTCTGTAAAAATATAGGTGCTCTTGCCATGTGCCCGATGCGCCTAAGGCGTAAAAGGGGATCTTTACTTACTTTTTATATTATTCCTATGTTGTTTTTTTTGTTTTCTCCATCACATTGTCTAGATTGAAGGTGTTTCTGTTGCAGGAAAGTATTGCGATGAGGATATTGATGAATGCGCCCTGACGCCCAACTTATGCCTGAATGGTGGCACGTGCATGAATAACGTGGGGTCATACTTCTGCGTGTGCGTCAATGGATGGGCGGGGAAGCACTGTGCTCTCAACGAAGACGATTGCCAGAACATGCCCTGCTACAACGGTGGTACCTGCCATGACAGAGTTGGCTACTTTGAGTGCGAGTGCCCTGTTGGAAAAACTGGTATGTTGAAATTTAGGTTTTTGTAATACTGAGTAGAGCCTGGTGGCATAGTGGTAGGAGTGCTAGCTTTCTGAGTCAGTGGTCAAGATTCGGTTATCGGAGGCATGATTATTTTCCTCGGCAGTGCGGTTCTGGGGTCAACCCTTCATCATCTTTATCATGAGGGATCGCGTTAGCGCAGTCAATAAAAAGCTCGCTTTCAAATCCAGCTGCGACTCGCTGCTGTTCGAAACCGGTCGGTTCCCGGGGTTCAGCCAGCCTCTAGGAAAGAGGTAACAGAGTTGACACTCTGGGGTAAATGGAGGAACGTCGCTGTAGCTACAGAGTTATGTGCGAATGGCGACACAGGCGGACAATTCTTATCAGCTGTCCGTACTGGTGGCAGAGCACTTTTGGTTTATAACCGTGTGCAATGAGGCTGGTTCACATCTCCCGACTTTACCTTTATCATGAGCCTTTCCCACCTACACAGGCACTCGTGTTTCTCCCCATATCTTGGTCCTTGGTATTTGTAATCAATTCAATTGATGATATTCCACCTTGTCATCCCATCAGGTCATCGTTTTTCTTGGTCTGTCTTATCTGCCATTGATCTTTGCACTCACCACGATGTTCTCAAATGCTTGTCTTCTCATCACGTCTCCAGAAAAATACCGACTGCCTCTGCGGTCGACCCAGTCCCATAGGAATGTTTACCAGTGGTCTGGTAATTGTTTGGGAAAGAAAAACAGCACTCCTCCGAATAACGGCCCCAAATTATCTAGGTCGAAATCCTACCTGACAGGGCCTCAATAGGTCATCTAGTATAACTATTCAAAACTGGGAACTAAAATATAATTAACCCTAACCCCAACCCTACACCTTACCCTAAGGCAAAGAAAATCTACAGCTGTAGCGTCATCAATCGGTAGAACATTATTGCTAATCTGTGTCGGAGCTGATGGCCTGCCTCTCATATTTGCCGGAAATAAATCCCAATTTGACATATCATTGAGGCCCTGTAAGGGTTGGTTTGTGACCTAGATAATTTGGGGCCGTTATTCACTGGTAGATTAAATGTGTCCTTTACTTTACTTATACATGGGAGGAAATACAGTACATTTATCCAGTACAGGCACACAGATATACATGAGTCTTTAAATAAATACAGTACATTACAGTCCAGTACAGGCACACAGATATACATGGGAAACACATGATACATTACCAGGCTCTGCAAAGGAATACAGTACATTTATCCAGTACAGGCACACAGATATACATGGGAGGAAATACAGTACATTTATCCAGTACAGGCACACAGATATACATGGGAGGAAATACAGTACATTTATCCAGTACAGGCACACAGATATACATGGGAGGAAATACAGTACATTTATCCAGTACAGGCACACAGATATCACATGAGGCCTGCTAAGTAATACAGTACATTTATCCTCATTGTTTTGTATACAGTCCATTTTATTTCACAGCCCACCATGTTTATGAGATCATGGGAGGAAATACAGTATTCTTTATTCCAGTCTCAAGCACACAGAATCTCCATTGATTTTGGAAATCTTTTAATTTTATTTTCAGATCATTCCTAGAATTCACTGCCATAAAACAGAACATGCTCGATATAACATTCCAGTACTCGATTTCTGATATTTAACATACTCACATGCCTCAGTATCACAGCATATTGGCAGAACAGTGGATTATTCTTATGATCATAATCTCTCACCAGGTCTGAGGTGTCACCTGGAGGATGCCTGTCAGAGCAATCCTTGTTTTGCTGGGGCCAGCTGTGAGACCTCCCCCATAGATGGAGAGCCCATCTGTATGTGCAAGAAGGGCTGGAGAGGACAGGACTGTTCACTGGATGTCAACGAGTGCCAAGAGAGTAAGATGGTTTTAATAAATGTTTTTTACGCTCCTTGTTTTGTTATTGTGTATGTACATTAAGATAAAACTCATGTTTGTTTATTGTTGTTCCTCCTGTGGGTACTGGGACAACATTTGGGGGAGGGGGGGAGGTGCATTCAATTCCGACACTGACGACTTTTCTGTCTAACACTCCATTGAAAGCGGGTTACTGCAGGCAGTATAGGACACACATTGAGAAACCAGAGAACAGCATAGCTAGAATGTCTTTGCATTGGAAACCACAGGGGTATAGGAATAAAGGAATTTAAAAAAAAACATGGAGAAGAGAGCTGGAGAATGTAGTTAGAAAGGTGGGGAAAGCTGCATGCGATAGCAAAGGATAGAACGACTTAGCGTGAATTGGTTGAGGGCCTTTGCTCCATTGGGGGCTAGAAAGGCAGAAGAAGAAGAAAAAATACAGGTAGTAAAGAAGTAAAGACGCGTTTTAAATTTATCGTTATTGTTTGCAGTTAGGTGAAACATTAGTTCGTCATTATTGTTTGCAGTTAGGTGAAACGTTAGTTCATTATTTTTTGCAGTTCAGTGAAACATTAGTTCATCATTTTTGTCTGCAGTTAGGTGAAATATTAATTCATCGTTATGGTCGTTATTGTTTGCAATTAGGTGAAACATTAGTTCATTGTTATTGTGTGTGTATACATTTAGATCAAATTTATATCTTTATTGCTATTATGTATATGCATGTACATCAGACTTAACCGTTATTATTATTATTATGTTAGTGCATTTAGATTACACTTATATGTCTGTTGTTGTCATTTTATATGAGTTTTTTTTTTTTAATAAAACCTATATGATCATCAATGACAAAAGTTTAAGAGAACGTAAATCTATGACATACGACAGAGCTTGTTGGAGATGTACTGCAGGCAAACTTTATTGTTGAGATGGCACCTGATTGATAGATTGAATGAGTGTTTGATGTAAATGAGCATCTTTTGCATTAATTGTTATTCCATCTCAAATCCAGCCGAGGACAGTCCCTGTGAGCACGGAGGCACATGCATCAACTCAAATGGCTCCTTCCATTGCCAGTGTCCTGTGGGCTTCACTGGGAACTTCTGTGAGAAGAACATCAACGAGTGCATCAGTAATCCCTGTCAGAATGATGGCACCTGCCTTGACGAGACTGGAAAGTACAGCTGTATTTGTATGCCAGGTGAGTAACGTAGGCTTTGTGATCTGTTTGTTGGCAAGGTTCCCCATCAGATTCCAGGGTCCCATTTAGGGGGGGGGGATGAACCCAGTACCCCGAACATGCATGTCAAAAAAGGGGACTGATTAGGGATTTAGTAAAATCCTGTATGTTGGACTTCAAGGTCCCTGTGTGGCTTCCAGGGCCCCTTTTGTAGGGACAAGAATAGACCCACTGTCTCCATAAATAGCTTGTCGTAGGAATCAGCTACTTGGGAGCTTTCTTCGAAGTTGGAGAGCATTTGCCCAAGCAGCAAGGAACAACCAACTGCACACAAATAAGCCAGCGATATTGGATGAACAGGCAACATTAAGGCCCTGGTGGCACAAAGTCCAACTGGACGAACATTCCACCAGAGATTACAGCCAGTGAACAGAGAAGAAGTGGGAGGGCCAATAGACACTGATATTGCAGCTGGATGTAAAGGCAAATGCAGAAGTGTGCCAGGTAAGTATTTTTCTCAAGGATGTGTTGCTAAAATATTAATAAAATCTAGATCTGTGTGTCAGTGTCAGTTTAAAAATATGCTGAACCTATTAAAATCTTTGTACTGAATCTATCCAAATCTAGAGACTGTGTTTGTGGCCGCCGGGGTGTAGCAGCTAGATGCTCGCCTGTGGGTCCAAAGGTTGTGGGTTCAGGTTCTGGTGGAGCCAGGCTTTTTTTTTTTTCTCTTTTAAAATGACCTTGGCTCCCAAGTCGACCTAGCCTTCATCGTTATGGTCCGAAGTTATTGTTTGCCGGCGTTAGGTGAACACATTAGTTCACTGAGTGCTTGTGGTCTGTATACATATAGATCTAGCCCTGTAAATTTATATCTTTATTGCCTTTTTTGTATATGCACTGTACATCTAGACTTTAATGTCCGCTTTTAATTATTATTATGTATATGCATGTACATCAGACTTAACCAAATCTAGATATTTATTCTGTTACAAATTTAGACCTGTATCCAATTATATGTCTGTTGTCACTTTTCTATATGGAGTTTTTTTTTTAATAAACCTATATGATTACTTTTGACAAAAGTTTGTTAAGAGGTCGTAAATCTGAATGACGGGTGTGTCCAGAGCTTGTTGGAGAGGGTGTGTTGCAGGCAAACTTTATTGTTTTAGAGTGGCAGCGCTGATTGATGAGATATACAACGAGCGTTTGAACGGCAATGCGCATCTTTTGCTGTAACTTTTGTTAGGTTCCATCTCAAATCCAGCCGAGTGACAGTCCCTGTGAGCACGGAGGCACATGCATCAACTCAAATAACCCTTCTTTTGCCAGTGTCACTGTGGGCTTCACTGGGAACTTCTGTGAGAAGACTGGACATCTAATATAGAGTGCATTTAGTCAAATCCCTGTCACAAATGATGGCACTTTGTAACCTTGACGAGATCTGGAAAGTACAGCTGTATTTGTATGCCAGGTGAGTAACCATTAGCTTTGTGATCTGTTTGTTGGCAAGGTTCCCCATGGCACACGATTCCATAAGTCTCTTTTGTGGGTGGGGGAGATAGACTCCAGCCTAGTCCCGAAACATGCAAGTCACAAAAAAACCGGTGAGGATCCTGATACTTTGGGGAGATTTAAAATCCTGTAATTTGGCCCTTAAAGGTACCTTGTGTGGCTGCCAAGGGCCCCTTTTGTACAAGACAAGAATAGACCCACGGGCGTCCGTTCTTAATACCCAGAGTCGTAGGGGAATAACAGTCTACTTGGGAGATTTTCTTCGAAGTTGGAGAGCATCTAGCCCTCAGCGGACACCAGGAACGAGACCAACTGCCCTAACCATTAATTAAGCCAGCGATATCTATGAAAAGGCAATCATCTTAATTCCCCTGGTCTCACAAAGTCCAACTGCGACGAACGGTACCAGGACGGTCAACAGAGATTCTCTGCCACTTTCAGTCAACTCTGAGAAGAAGTGGGAGGGCAATAGACACTGATATTGGAGAAAGGCAAATGTCAGAGTGTGCCTCAGGTAAGTATTTACTACCGTCAATGTAATCCAGTTTTTGCTTCTTATCACATTGGCCATCTAGATCTGATGTGTCAGTTTAAATGTGGGCTGTCAGTTCTCCTATTATAGTTTCTTTCAAGATGTCTCTATCCAAATATCTGAGACTGTATTCTCATCATTCATCGGGAAAAGCATCTAGCACGCTTCACCTGTGGGTAACAAATTTCAACTGTGGGTTCACTTTCAGGTATCTGGTAGTAGCCATGTTTTCTTTTTAGGAATTCTGTTTTCTCGTCTTTCAAAAGAAAGATTTGCTCCCAATATTCTTATTTTGTAAAATGACGCCTTTGCTTTAGCTATTTTACATTTAACATGGGAAGTTGCCCTGTGCCTTTTCCTGATCTGTTGAATTTCACACTTGAGTTCTTATCGTTTGGTCTATGGGGGGGGGGGGGGGGGAAGGGAGGGGGGGGGGGGGGGGTTCTGTTTAAACTGTTTAAGTGTGAAGATTGCGATCTTTCGCTAATGTTCAGAAATTACATATTCTATTCGGTTCTAGATCTTTATGGCAAAGTCAGTGCTCCCCCAAAAAACTGCTAAAACTCTACAACAATGCTAGTATTGATTGGAAGAAATTGAGTTCACTCAGTTCTGAATCTTAGCAGTGACACTTCGAGAAAACGCTAGAAATTTGTGCAAAATCTGACCACAGCTGGTAGATTTACAATGTGTGGAAGAGAGCGGGCGGATTAACTTGAGCATTAAAAAACGCCCTGTGTGCTCTGAAGTTGGATAAGCTGGCGGAAAATTGCAGACGTCACCGTTTTCGCTGTAAACCGATACACTTGTCTCGGAAGAAGACAGAAAGTGGAAAGGCAGCATAAGAAAGCTGATTAATTGGTAATCACTTTACTGAAGATACTGTTCAGTCTTTTGACAATGGAGAATTGTGGGAGATGAAAGCTTAAAATGCCAGAAGGAAAGTGTTTCGGCTTGGGTCTTATCCTAGTCAGTATTTTTAAATTGCTAGTAGTTTGTACATGGCTTAGTAGCCACATCACTGTTGCCACCTTTCCAGACGATATCGTTGTACTCTCATCTAAGGACTCATGGGAACGAATGAATAAACGGAAGAACTTTATTTTCAGAGTGTCACAAATTGGGCACTCAGGCCCGTCTTATATTCGGCCCTCCCAAACACCAGTCTTTCACACAGCAGTTGTTTTGTATCCGATGTTTTTAGTAAGCTATCTTTGTGTTCCAACTTCTGTATTGGTTTTGCCTTTTCGTTTAGAGAAGACAAGGCAGGACCAGGGGAGAAGTGGGGGGGGGGGGAGGGGGGGGGGGGGGGGGGAGTGTCATGCTGCATTGTCTTCTTCTACTTCTTCATCTTCTTCGTTATCTTTGTCTTCTTCTTCTTTTTCTTCTTCTTCTTCTTCTTCTTAAACCGTAAACAGATTAGAAAAATGAAACCTATTCCTTGTTTTGGGGCATGTTATGAGAAGGAATGAACTCGACAGTTTGATGACGACTGGCAAGATTGTTAGAAAAAGAGCAAGAGAGAAAAAAAAAGCACATAGATAAATGTCTATATTGCTTAACCGTATAGGTGGGGCAAGGCAAAAGCACTGACCTGATCGGTAATCCTGTTTATGATAAAAGATGGCGAAACATGACAGGTTGCACCGGACACATTATGCTGATTGTCTGTAAGTAAATTTTACCCCACTAGGACATCACACAGAGCGATAAACACCCGGTGAGACAAAGTGCCACCATGCGGATGAGGATCACCCGTGGAGAGGTCCCAGAAACCGCGTTCAACCTTCAGGTCAGACTATATTGCGGCCCCCTGGCAAAAGCCAGGGTGGGGCTTCAAAATGATGAAAAATGGCGTCCCACATGGGGACGAACTAGGTTAATATGAAGGTCTGTAACTCTTGTAGACGATGCAAACTTTAGCGAAATATTGCCAGAATGTCACTTCATGTGGCCAGGTTGTTAGCTGTGCAGGAAGCGCGAACTTGTTGCACTTTAAGCTGGGAGTTAGGGCTGTCTATTTCTTTAGGACAGTGATTCGCAAACTGTGCGCCGCTGCGCTCAGGGGAGCCGCGACCGTTTTTTTTTTTTAAAGTATCCAGAAGCCATGAGTTGTCAACCCTTAGGCTCGGTATTATTGATATGGCAACCCTTCGGCCTTAATTCCAGGATAAATACCGTAAATCTGGGAGAAATGTGGCTTTTCTGCCTACCCCCGGGTGTGAACCCGGATCACAAGGAGTTCACCACCCGGTCACCTCGCAGTCCGGTTTAGCCAATTACGCTAGTGAGCCAGGCTAGCCGCGACCGCTTAAAAGGGGTGCCGTGAGATATTCGAAGATACACGCAATTTTTTTTTTAAATAATCTGTTACATACGAATAGTCATACTTTTACTTAGGTTAGGGCGCCGGAAATTTTAATTTTTAAAACAAAGGCGCTGCGACCAAGAACGGTTTGGGAAACACTGCTGAAGGATGTAAACGAAATGGAACAGGGGATTACACGTCTCTATTTCTGCTGTCTTCATCCCGATATTTGTATTTTTGTTCCGAAACGACATAAAATAATTAGACGGTTATTTTCGACTTTTTTTTTAAAAACCTGGCTTCTTCAAGAATTGCAAAACTCCAGCAGTGAAATATTTACTTTAAAACAAACAAACAAACAAATCCGCGTCATTTTAAATTGTCGAGAGATACCTAACACAATATATTTTTTACATTTCGTTGAAAAGTAAACCTAAAACATATTATACTTGATGTACAATATATCCAGTAGTATTAAATAACAGAATGTAATTAATAAAATCACACACACTCACTCACTCACTCACACACACACTAACTCACACATACTCGCTTACACACACACTTACACACACACTCACACATTCGCTTACACACACACTCACACATTCGCTTACACGCACACTCACACACTCGATTACACACACACTTACACACACATTCACA